TCAGAGAGGCTTCTCCTTTTGTTTGCACAGCCTCTCCCTCACAAATGAGCGCACCTCCTCGTCTTTGCACCAAAGAGCAGACGCAGTGAATCCTCAGCCTCCATTTCCTGTCCTTGTGTTTTCTATAAAGCCGCCACTGTTATTGATGAGGTTGAGTGTGTGCTTATCCAAGGCGAGCTGACACAGCTGAATACAGTTCAGGATTGTTTTGACCAAAGACAACAGCCTGTCACTTGTGCTAGGAGTGAATCACTTTCATGTAGGTATTTTATGTCCTTAAAACCTGAATGAGAGTGATTCAGTGATTTGTGTGGAAACACTTGAACATGAATGCACTTTTAAAAAGCCATTTCTTAAAGCTATTTACTGACAAACTAAACTGCAACACCAAAGCCACTTTCAGACATGAACTCCGGAGAATGTCCACACAGCTGGGTCTGGACTTTCTCTGGATTCTCTGCTTAGACACAGTCACAACAACACAGAAACCCCCAGATCATTGATGACGGGTGAAGCATCAAGCAGACGCAGAAAGTAACGAATTCATTCTGCTGAGGAGATCACATGTCTTTGTTGACACGAGTGTTGGTTCTTATCACACTTCTCATCATATCAACACAACATATGGTATTCACTGAAAATACAGTCTGAATTGTTCACATCACAAGCATGAGGGAGGCTGTTCACTGAAGCAGTCAGCTGGTTTGTATGAGAACCAAAAACTAATCATCAAACAACACAAAAAAGAACCAGTAGTTGCTTTTGTTAAATGTCACAGTGGGACATGTTTCTGTTTGTGGTCTACATCAGGGGCTGTTCAAAATATTTTGGGACCCCCCTCAGACAAAATCAAGCCAGCTGTGCTGAAACCTGTCACAACCAGCAGTAATCACGGTGTTATCTGTGGGCTACATGTTGAGCCAGTTTTTTTTTTTTTACTACACCTGTTGGCAAATTTGGCAAATTTGGCAAATTAGCCCTGTTGAATTACGCTGATTTATCATTTGCCTCTGTTTACACTGTATTTGTGTATGTTCAGCCAACTGTAACTGGATTACATGTATCCTGAAAAGGTTTTGAAAATATGTTCTGGGCTGAGGAGCATCTTTTTGCTATATCTTCTAAACAGCTTTGTGTGTGTATGTCCGCTGTGTCCGTGTGTTTCAATTTGTCTGAATTATCACTCAGAGAAGATCATGATTTTTTTTCTAACTTCCTGTTGTTTTTGGATGACCAGCATGCACCTGTCCTTTTTACCTCCTGCAGTAAATGAATCCCCCACCTGCCCCACACACATTCCCTCCCTCACACATCTATCAGCTGCATTAACCTATTCTGAAGTTGCAGAGGAAAACCAAAGCCTCTCACTGATCACTGTAATTATAGCTTCTTCATTATGATTAATCAACTAATTGTAATTAGTGGCACACGCATGTTCAGGTGTGGGTGATGTTGTTGTTCACCCTGTGTTCAGCTGCTGCCAATGAAACAATTGATGGAGGGTGTTTACTTTTTCTTCAACAGTAAAAAAAGAGTTGGTCTGAGCAGTGTCACAAAGTGTAGAACACAGTTTGCTCTAAGTTAATAGTTACATCATTTCCCCACTGACATCCATTCTTCTTCCAGGCTTAATAATTACCTGGATCTGTCTGACATTGTTATTATAAATGAGTGTGGGTATAGTGAAATATAACTCGTTAACTGTACAGTAGGAACGACACACTGCTTCAGTATATGATTTTAAGCTTAGATGAAGTGATTACCATGTCTGTACTCTGCAGTATGAAGGAATAACAGTTTTCTGTACAGTCTCCAATGTAACCAGAATTAAACTTCAACTCTAATTAAACTTAGTGGACCTATCACAGGTCTAGACTATGCTGTGGATAATTATTATTATAATTATATAAGCTGTAAGATGACATATGATTTACAGAGGATGTCCTGAAACTCCTTGAAGCTCCACCTGACACACTTGACAGATACTGTGTGTATGAAGCATGTATATAAAATAACAAAAGTACAGATGAAATTTCAGACTATGAAACTACTTTAAGAGTTAAATCATTTCCTCTCAGACTTTGATGGTCTCACTTACATCAGGTCTACATTAAAAGTTGTCTATACGCTGTGCTGTGTGATGTCTACAACACTGGAACATCAAATGTCTCTGTCCAGGTGTTTAATGGGAAGTGATGCCGGACTTTTGTCCTTGATGTGGTAGATACAATCATAAACTGCTATTTAAAAAAGAACCAATGGTTGGAGATCTTCAAAAGATTCCACACACAGCTTGTGTATGTGTGGATGTGTGTGTGTGAGTGTGTGTGTGTGAGTGTGAGTGTGAGTGTGTGTGTGTGTGTACTCCTGTGACTTTTAGTTAAAGTGCTTGTTTACGTTTTATCGTCTGTGAGTACATTTGTCAAGCTGATGTTACAGTCGGAGCACACAGAGGTTGAAACTGGACACTTGCGGCGTTCAAGATTAAACCACAATTATGAGCTAACACACATACTCACACACACAGAAACCTAAGCTCACACATACAGAGTGAAACCTAACACAAAACACTGTGTAATTGTAAATCAATAAACAATTACAGTAGTACCATCATAGCACACTGCTTACTGACCTCAAATCCCTCGCCGCCCGACTGTGTCTCCATCTTCCTATTGTTTGTTAGAGTGCTGCTAAAAGAGACGACTGTTGCCTCATGTGTGGACATTTATAAAAAATGTTTGTTGTTCATTGACAGACGGTTGTAGTATGTCATGTTAGCTGCAGAACATATGTTAATATACATGGGCACAAATTATATAAAGTTCAGATGATTTTCTTTTCTTTTACGAGGGACATGTTATTCACCTCAGAGCAAGAAGCTCAATCTGCGATGTCCTTCTGCTTAGTTACATAGTTGTATTGTAATGTTCATTGCTGATTGTCTGTCTTTTTAGCAGGATTACATACAAACTACAGAACTTATTTTTATTGACCCACTAACTTTTAGAATGTATTCCATCATTTTTCACTCTCTAACATCGCGAGAAAGGATATTTTTTCAACATTTTATTTAAGGGATAGTTCACCAAATAATTCACTCATTATCTACCCACCCCTATGCCAATGGAAGGATGGGTGAAGTATTTGAGTCCACAAAACATTTCTGGAGTCTCAGGGGTAACCGATTATACAAACAGAAAAATACAACAGAAAAAAACATTACATGCCTTCGTACTGCTCCTGTGGTGTCATCCAAGTGTCCGTAAGCTCCGATATTCATTTTCGACTAGAAACAGCATCATTTACACCATGTTTTTATCCTTAACTGTTATCCTCCTCTGGAGCCATGTTCACATACACACACCGCACACAGGGGTGCCCGGTAGCATTGCTAGTTTCGATAGCATCGCTACTTTCTGTTGCGGACGCTTGAGCTTATAATATGGTGTAAATGATGTCATCAGTTACTTCAATTGTTTTGGATTTGTTGTGTGGTGTCTGAAATGCCATGTGTTGTGTTCTCTTTGAAGGAAGCTGATCTATGGGTCTGAAGCCCATAGGTCCTGAGGATTCGGAGGCCCATAAGTTTAGGTTTTCAGAGGAAAACTGAACATATACGTTAAGGCATTAGGTCACAGCTCTAACTGTTACTCTAAATTTGAGGTGGCGCCTTTCCCTCTCTGTTACCAGGCAGATGAGGAGGGCTGGAGGAAAGCCAGATGTGTTTTCTTTAGCTTTACAACGACAACTCTCATATATAAACAGGGAGTTGAATCTGTTAGGCAGAAGAGATTCACATTGGCCCCGGATCTCTCTCCAAGCAGACTGCAGTGCTTGTATTGGCTGAACTTTTTGTAATAAACCTTTTATACAATCAAGACGGTGTCAGCGGAGATTCCTTCATCATCTTCACATCATCACTTCCCCAATATACAACAGCTGTTTACCCCTGAAACTCAAAAAGTGTTTTGTGGACTCAAACACTTTTACCCACCCTTCTATTTGCATTGTGGTGATGATAGATGATAAGTGAATTTTCATTTTTCTGTGAACTTTCCCTAACTTATGAATAAATAATGCAGATATCTTTAAATGAAAACAAGCCCTAATATAGAGCGCTGAGATCAGGTGAAATTGTAAGCAGAATGCAGCAAAATTCTGTGTAAATGGTTTTTGTATCTGATCTGAATGTATGTACATGCAATACGGTGATAAAATGGTCAATCAGCCTTGTTGGAGGTATGATTTTATGATTGATAGTGTTTCCTGCGACAATGGCAAAAAACAGGTGAGGGGTGGCAAAATTCTCCTCTAAAAAGTGTTTTCCAGGGATATATATGAAATGATTGATGAAACATATCTCAACCTCCCACAACAATAAACACTACACTTCTCTAAATTCTGTTCTGAAAGAGAAACCCTGCTCTGAGTAAACTGTAAGTGGTTGTGCACTACACTGCACTTGGTTTTAACCATCAATTGTTCCTGCTTGCACTGTAACCATGGATACACAGACATAAATTAACTACATACTGAAGAGCAAGTCATCAGATGATGATTAGGTAAGAGCTTGTTCTTATAAAAAGGTGTATATATAGTTTCTAAGTGGGTTCATTGATTTTTACCAAAGACTAAATGTGCCTATTTTGGAAATATGTGTGGAAAAAAAAAACACATTTGTAGAAGTGCATTGATTGGGCCTCAGAAAGAAACAAAATATGTTCTTTCATACTGTGGTGTTATATTAAGAAAAGCTTGTCCTGCTGAAGTAGAAAAACACAAAATCTATACAACTGCACAGCCACTGATCTGTAACCAGTCGTGATCTTAGTCATAAACGAATCATCTTCATCTATCTCTTCAAGACTGGATAGAAGAAAAGCAGACAACACACTGAACACATGCTGTTCAGCTCTCTTAGAGATTTAGATGAAGACAAGATTTAGTCAAATTCACACATCTTTATAAGACAGGACAAAATGGAAAAGGAGATCGTCGGATTGTTTGAAGACATTTTCTTAAGAGAGTCACATTAATACAAAGATCTATCATGGAATACCAGTATTTTATATACTGCAATTGTTATACCACATTTTTATATTCTGTAACATGTGTACATTGTAATATGTCAACTTTGCTTCAAAAAGTGTTCAGTTAGTTCATCCAAGAAAAGAAAAAAGAAAGAATGTTTTAAACAATATTCAACTCACCATGAAAGGATTACAATACCCTGCAAATGCTCATAGTCTGTGTCATAATGTCTTTAAGCATTTATCTTTACCACAAGAGAATACACAAAAACTCAATGCTTTGGGTAACTCATTGGATTTGATACTGCCTTTCATATAAAACACTTGAAATAATGCTCATTAATGATTTACATAGTCCCAAGGGGGAACAGAGACAACACTGTGATACTGTGAGAATCCATGTCAAGATAATAGGGAATAGATATGAAGAGTTCCACTCCAAAACATTAGATATCCAGATTCATCATAAAATAAAATTGTTGCCTGAGGTTTTTCATTCATGTGAAAGAAATCTATAAGATCCCCTCTGTAAAAATGAACAATTTTTTTTGACGGAACACTTAATTATCAATGGTTCTTTGAAATTAATAACATTTGGTTTTACTCTTTTAATTCGATTTTTTTCCTGTTTTTGGGGGGGTTCATGCTTTTTCTGTCACATTTTGGAACAAAACTCTTCATGTTTTCCAGTTCAGTAAATATGGAACAAACAGCAACACAATTAGCTGATCCACGTCAGTAATTATTATTTTTGATGTACCGTCCATAAATTAACAAGAGTATCTACCTGCTTCAGTGGCTCCTCTGTGGTTTAACAGACAAGGTTTTTATCAAAGCAAAGGATGGGCGTGAAACCTCATCATCACTAAACAGAAGAAAACATGTGAATGTGAGTCACGTACAGTTGATAAAAGAAAATTAGAGTAGTGAAATAAAGAAATGTTTTCATTTAGTCGTTGGAGATGAAATGTGAGAGAGCAAGCCTTTGTGTTTCTTTTCATGGATTGTGAATTGGCAGGATACTGATGATAACCATCAAGCAATAGTTCAACATTATGGAAAATACAATATTTAGCTTTGTCACAAAAAGTTTGATGAGAAAAACGACACTACTCTAATGGCTGCGGTGTAAATATGAATTTCTAGTAGCTGCTTATCTGAGGACACAGACTGGAAACAAGGGGAAAGTAAACCTGCCTCTGTTCGAATGCTAACATTAGCCTGTTAGCATGGCTAAAACTCACTGATTTACATCTTATTTATTTAGGGAGAAAGTAGACAGCCTTGTGGTGACATTGTTACTTTTAAAACTTTTTACAGTTAGGTTGTTGTAGGTTAAACAAACAGAATAAAGAGAGCGGAGGCTAACTTGCGATCATATCAGGGCTAGTCTGACTCAGCCCATCGACACTGGATATAAACCACAGTTTCTAACGCAGCATTCTGTACTTTTTCAATCCGTCACAAATGTCAAAATCCCCTTCACTATACGAAACCACCTGAACATTCAAGCAAACAACCTACACGTTGAAAATGGCCTATAGGTTGTAAGCTTGTGTCATAAATATGTGGATTGTCCAATTACACAGACAACAATAATCTTTTACTTTTGTGTGTGTGTGTTTCTTTGTGTTCCACACGCAGAGTGTGACTCCCCGCGTGGAAATGTTCCAACAGAACAACCTCTCCTTCCTCACACTATTTTTCAGGGACACTGTCACTGCATCCTGGGCTCAGCAGCACCCAGGACACTTGTGATTATGTTTTTTTTCCCAAGAGCAGAATGATAATGGTACAGCACAGACCTATTTTCACAGTGCTGTGTCAGCACTGTGAAAATAGGTCTGGCAAAGCGGGACTATGTCCGAGCTAACCTCTGTTCCATTAGCTTCTGTAACTCAATCTAGTTTCTGTCTTTCCGAAAAACAAAATGACGCCTGTGGTAACTCCGTAGATAAATCATCGTCTGCTACAGCCGTGGTTGTTAGAAGTTCAAGCCTTTGTAATTCAACTCCATGATTTCCTCTCTATCAATTTTATTCACCAGCTGAGGCTGCTCAACTCACCCATGGACTTTTGGGAAATGATGTTGGGGTTAAGGCTCTGTTCAAATTCAGGTTATTTGCCTTCTAATAAATGTGTGGACATTTGAAAGATGTCTTCTCACTTCTGGAGCAGAGCCTGGAAACTGTGATTTCACCTCAGCTCTCTCGATCTGCTGATGTTAAAGGTGTTGGTAGGCAGATTTTCTTCCCTTTGAAAGGAGCCAGAGGAGCTGCTTCCCTGCTCCCAGTCTTTATGTGAATATGTGAAGGTAAGCTAACTCCTGGCTGTAGCTTCATATTGAGCTGACAGATTATAGGAGCAGTACCCAGCGCTCAGCCAGAGAGTAAATAATTGCATTTTCTCAAAATGTCGAACCGTTTCTTACTGTTACAGATTTCCGCAGCCTGTGTATGCAGGGCACACACCTGTGCCTCACAAATGATTTATAATCTCAGTTACAAAAATGTTTTCTTTTGAGTGGAAAAGCAGTTTTATACCATAAAGCCTGGAAAATGACAGGACAGTTTCTCAAAGCGTGTGTATGTGTTTGAGGGCTGTGGTGTAAATGAACTGGAAAAAGTGAGCGTGAGGTTTCTTAACCTCTTTGGAAAAGTGTCGTGTTGAACCATGGCTCCAAGTCGTCCCCGTTCTCCAAAGTCTGTGATTCAGCGTCAGTGGGCTTTTCAAAATCTATTCACCTTCAGCACATCGACAACTTACCAGCACTGACACAGGTAACTGCCGAAAAAAATCTCCTCTAGTTTAAGATGAGAACAAATACCATAGCTTTAAACGTTAGCCACCCAGATCACAGTCAGAAAAAGAACTAAAATAACATCGGAAAAAATAAGTTAACATAATTTTGACACATAGAATTTTACAATATGTACATTATATTTAAATTAAAATAGATTTGTCAGTTGTCTGATTGGGTAGGTCCTTTACGGAGTGCTCCTTTTTTTCAAACCATCCAGTGTAATTCCACAGAAGCAGAGTTCCCATTAAAAGCTAAGCCGGCCAATCAGAGTGCAAGTAAGGCTTCCATCATCAAGTCCCTGCCAATAGTTGTCAGTGGCGTCTTCGGACAGGGCCGAGCCCTTAGCAACACACATGGCAGACCCTTCAACACCTTGACAAAAAGAAATAAATATAAAATATATGTAATATTTCTATATATATATTCATAAAACCAAACCCAGGATAGATTTTAACTCTGATGTGTTCTCTCTATAGTAGAATCAAACTGTGGCCATTTTCCTATTGCCAGTCTATATTACTTCCCTTTTTGTCTCCATTTTTGTGTATTTTTGCAGTTTTTTAAGGGGAAAAAAAGTTTTCTTCAAACCTGTACATCTTATACGCAAGTAAACAAAATGTAAAAGTGCGTGTTTTTTTTGTTTTTTTTTTTGAATACGTTTTATCCACTATATCCAAAAGTGTTGCAGGCACTTAAGTCCTTCCCAAACATTGTAGATGTTTTTCGACAGTGGAGCAGGTTGGTTTGGTTATTCCTGGGTTCGTGTGTGTCGGTCTGTCCGTATGTCTCTGTCCATCTGTCTGTCTGGCGAGGAACGGGCCATCCGCGGCTGCTGCTAGCCCAGGATGTCCAGGTAGACCGGCGTGGCTTTTCCCATGGCGAACAGGACCTTCTGAATGTCCTTAATGTTCAGTCGCTGCTGCGGTTCCCTCTGCCAGCAGCCCAGCATGATGTCATACACCTCCTTAGGACAATTCCGTGCCCTCTCCAGAACCCGACCCTGGGTTATGCACTCAATAACCTGCAGAGGAGAGAGGGCAGTGGAGTGAGACAGACGATTTTCACTGACTGATTGCTTTGGTTTGCTCATAATGAGAAAGCGGTGACACTGAGGAGACTGTCCTCTGAGCTTTGAACTAATGAAACTGAGATGAAAGAAATAAACAGAATGCATTCAGTCTTAAATCTGTGCAATGTTAAGGCAAAACAAGATTTTTTTCCCTGTCCTACAAAACACAAATAATAACAGTGAATATATGTGAGGATGGAGGTTTGAGATGTTGCTAATAAGGAGATTGATCTTTTTTTTTAGTCAGACTTGAGCTCTAATCAGCTAAATGTCTCACTGCTGTTGTGACAGTTTGACTTCATTACTTGTGTAATTTACAGGCCAAGGTCTCTGAGAATAAAGACATGGTCTATTTGTTTGTAAGGACGATGGCTGCAGAAAAAATGCATTGATTTTTTAGTCACTGTGCAGGTACAACAAAAAAAATGTGTGGAGCAAGCCTGTATCGAGTCTTTAGAATAAACCACAATAGAAACTATAAAAATACTCATAATAGAATAAGATGTGTATAAAAGAAATCATTAAGCCAGTATAGACAGTAGTTAGATTACAGTACTGACATATTCTGTTGTATTTTTCTGACACTCAAATGTGTCATTCTTTTTTATGTGTTTAATTTTTTAAGTTGTAGAATAATTACTAAGTCATCTGAAAAGGAAAAACCGTCACAAACTATGGTGCCATGCAATTGCATGTGCTTGTTATCTAGCAGCACAACAGCAGAGACAGAACAAAGCATTTCATAATCCGTTGGTATCTGAAGCCTAATTTCTGGAAACGTACGACAAACCTAATCTGTGTTTAAATAAACATGATTTTACTGTGGTTCACACTCAGAGACTGTCAACCTAACTGAAACTACACAAAATATTAAAACAAACCTGTGAGGAATCATTGTTTTGTCTCTTTTACAAGGTGAAGTCTACTGTTTTGTTCCATTTTTCTATTCAGTCAGTCTATTTTTTCAACAAAAGACATGGCTGGCTCTAGACGGAGCTGTGAGAGGATCAACTCCTGCAAAGACACCTGGAGGCTCTTTGCATAAATTCCCAGGTCACAAACATTACATTCGACCAATGGTAAAGGCTGCAGCCCACACGGAAAAGCACCTGATCCAACACACATGCAGCTCTTTTAATACAACACTGATTTCCTAACCTACAGAACATTTTCTGATCATTTCACAACCCACCATGTGACAGGGCTTTGGTTATAGATTTTGTTGGCAATTTATTTTCCTGCACTTTCTATTACAGTGTTGCACAATTTTAATTGCCTCCTCTGACACTAGCTGCCATTTCCAGTCAGTCATCAAATTAAAAGGTGCTGACATATGGTTGAGATTAACACAAATAATGAACATTTCCAATCATTGTACTAACTCATTCAGCACGTAATGTTGTTGCTTCATATACGTCATGATCTGAGTTTTCTCTTTAGACTTGTCTTTGTTGAGAGATGCTTTACTTCTTCTTTTTCATGACCCCACACTTGTATATAATGATAATGATACTGATAATATTAAATAAGCAACTTTCCTTCATATATTTTAACTTAAAGTTAGAAAGATATTGAAGGCATCATCCTTTGGCACAGACTGAGCTTGCACATCTGATGAAGCTGACAAAAACACTAAAAATCTAAATAGATTAGACTCAATACAGCTTGTTTTATATTATATGTTTTATATCTTTCACAGATACTACTAGTGGTACAGTTCGACCCTGGAAAGGTAATACTCCCTGCCCCAACAATGGTGCTGCATTAAAACATACTGTGAGCATTAACCACGGATACGGAACATTTAAAAGCATGAGGTCTGTGAGATGTAAAATATATTATTTTCTGTAACTGACTTCTGAAACACAAAATCACTTTCTGTGTCTCGAGGACCTCAAACAGATTATTAGGATTTCACTACTTGATTTAAAACCAGTATGGCTTCACATCAGTTTCTTTGTTTCCAGAAACTGTCTTTGTGTGACATCTGCGGCCTGTGATCATGGTAACACTACAATCAAGTAGTTGAAAGACTGTCTTCAAAATGGCGGCTGCTGGATAAACTGGTGCAAGTATATATCTAAGCTAGAGTATGTGTAGAAAATGTCTATAAAACTGTAAATATCATTACTGTTGCAGATAGACAAGGTTGTGAATTGTCACCCTCATCATACAATCACAAATCACAGCTCGACTCCAGGCCTCTCACTTAGCAACCACTCAGATGGACGGATCAGGACACTGAGCTGCAGGCACATGTGACAGACTGGATTGTGATCCGCTGTGACTGAGAAGCCCAGGCAGGAGGGGCAGCATTTAAACAGATGGAGATGCGACATCTTTTACTACAACTACAAATACAATATCTGAACACACCGTATAACTTTCTCTCCTTGTTTCCTCTGAATGCATGTAAGATTATTAAATTTTATCTTTCTCTACCTGTCTCCCAGTGTCTCGTATATTTTCTGTATCAGCTTGTTCCAGCTAGAAGTGAAATACACAAACCTCCACTCCACTTTTTTATGGCTGTGCTGTTATGTTCTCCATGTCTAACAGATCATTTTATACAGGTTTCCCCATAATTCACACATCTTATATCTTTGGAACCTGCAGTGAAATCTAGTGAGGTGTTGATGGTTTGAACAGAGTCTGGAAACGTAGCGGTTTGCCTGTAAAAGTCAACAGTGCAGCTCCTTGCAGGAGAATGTGGGGATAGAGCCTGGAGGAGAACATGGCTTGTTTGTTTTGACACTTTCAACGTAATAATTTATGATCGCCACAGACGACTTTTTAGAATGCTGAGAAAAATGTATGACTTAGTAACATGATGATAATAAGCACAATATTCCAATCTAAAGCTACCAGAAGACAAGGTGACACAGGATAAACAGATGGTGGATCTAACCGTCAGACAAACTACTATATTCATCATAATGTTTAAGTAAAGTCACTTCATCAGCAGTGTTGAAAATGTCCCAAAACTACTCGTCCTCGCGATTCATAGAAATGTGGAAATGTTCATTTATGTCGAGCCCGGGAACATATTGATGATTCAATTGAAATACGCACAAGTGCTGCGTGTGACACATGCCAGGTTATTCTTTTAGGTCAATTTAATTTTCTCAATATGCTCGCTTTACAAGAGTAATCCTAATTAAATTTTATTGATTCAAAGCAGAGCCTGCAATGAAAAAACAAACCAATCATGTTGGTTATGTAACGCAGCATCTTGTCTGGTGGCTAAGTGGCAGCAATTTATCACCTCGTAGGGCCAGCATGAGTCTCGGAGAGAGAAGAGAAACAATCTGATGATGGTATGAAATCCAGAATGGCGATATTCATTTAAATCTACTATTAGAAAGCTTATGCTTTCAATTCCGCTGAAGCAAGGGGGAGTATTTCCTCACCCCAGATGCTCAATGAGGGAGGACCAATCTGTTCAGTTCCATCCTACTTCTTTAATTTTTTAATAAGGCAATGTTAAATATACCGTTTGGAGGTGTTTGCAATAAACACCTTTACTTGATGTTTTGAAATGGAAAAGAAGATTCCAGTATTTCCCAGTGGATAATCTGAACCAATAATTTTACATGCGTGACGGCCTGCAGCACATGTATGTATACTGATATGTACAACATGCTTCAGGCTCTTTGTACCTCGTTGTTACCCAGCTGAAACCAAGGCTGCTTTCCATAAGTAAAGATCTCCCACAGGATGACTCCAAAGCTCCAGACGTCACTTTCCGTAGAGAATTTCCGGTACATGATGCTCTCTGGAGGCATCCAGCGAATAGGTAGCATGGTGTGTCCTCCAACCTGAGGATGATAGAACAGAGGATGTGGTTCAAAACACAGATTAGGAAATTTAGTCATCAACACAACTCCCAGGTGTCTGGGGATTAACTGTCCTCGTATGTAAATGATACAATGGGCTTAGCGTCTCATGAATGTATGCTGCGCTGCTGGTTGGAGACACTTATGCGAAACAGGAAAACGCTGACTTATCTACCTGCTCTGTATGTATTGAATCATGGGATGTGAAATTCCTCAGGTTATGGAATTAAAGCGTCCCTTTGTTCTTGATGAAAACAGCATTCTGTGATCTCTTCTCTGCAGAAGTATCAGGCATCAGATGGAGGATCAAAAGCTCTCAGAGCATGGAATTTAATGTATTCTAATTAGTTTTAATGTAAGACGCCTTCAGTGAAGGAGTTAAGAAAACAGCTCATTGGACTGTAAGCTCACATGCACCATCATGGCAAAGAAGTTCAAATATCTGCTAAGGTGAATGCCTGATTTCAGTTTTTATCCGCTCACCTTGTGCATTCAAAAGCATGTTTGCACTAAGTGAGGTAACAGCTGAGGCACCAAAGATCTCAGCAGGAAACTTAAAGTCTGCAAACCAGGAGAACATGAAATGAAGTCCCTTCACTGTAAACCCAATGAGGCTGGATATTAATCAATTAAACATCATCCATTAATCTTCCTTGCTCTCAGTTTCCATTAGCAGACATTGTTTTAAAATCAATTACATCTATTTCCCATTCACGTCAGTGGCGCTGATCAGCTGGACATGACTGATGTCGGAAAGAGCAGCAAAGTATTGCAGGTTTCAGCTCCGGAGCCTCACACTCTTAATTACAGTGATAATGAAGCTCAGGAGTCGAAGTTCACTATTGACATATCATGTTATTAACATGCTGCTGTGATTTGATGTGGAGGCTGCTGTGTCAGGGACACTGTAAGATTCCCCTCGTCTCTGCCAACTGTCGCTGTACCTGTTTTCTGTCCTAATAGAATTACACAAGAGAACATCTTAATTTAAGGGCCGCTTACAACGAACTTTCAACTGTGTAACTATACAATCATCATAAACAATTTACCACCACCTGATATAGAACAGAGACTGATGTCCTATACTTAAGTCATGTTATGATTATGAGACCACAAGATGGGATTAGATGCAACAGGAAAAAAAAACAAAAAAACTAGATAGCTAACCCTGAGTGAAGATTCAAATTTTTGCCACAAGGATGCCAAGATGCACTGAATATAAAATCAGTTTTCATTTGACACATGATCAATTTGAGGGATGGCTAATGTACAGTATAAACTATATATGTAAAAATTCAGTGGTAACAAAAAATTGGATGAAAGGAAGAAACAAGAATACAACTTTAATACTACAATTAAAAGTACATTGAAATTTCATAAAAAAGAGAATCAGATTTGAATAAATGCACAACCAATGGTGTATGTTATTTTGCAACACAATAGCAATCTAATACATGGCAGCCTACAAGCAAATTAAAAATACATATATTTTTAATATGAATGTGATATTTTTAACACTGGAGATATAACACAAGACATCATCATTTGTATAGCATTTGTTTTCCTATAACTCCCTGTTGTCACTTATCTGTCATCTAGTTCCCATTTGCTACAAGCTAGTTCCATACCGTAAGCTCTGAAATCATGATTAGCTCTCTTAGCTTGTGGCTGCACTTCTGGGTTACAACACAATAATTTCATTCATTCAATCATAAGCTCTTCTCCCAAATCCATTAACCAGCTCCAACATCTGTGTATCTTCAGCTGGGAGGCATTTTAAAAATGGATTAAAAAAAAATACTAATTACCTCCTAGTTGTATAGTGCTCTCATTAACATTTCCTTTGAAAGTCAAATACAGTCTCTCTGTGTCAGCTTGATGCAGCAGATTAAAATTCTGGATGTTTTAATGAAACATGAGATTTGTCAAACAGTCAAAAGGCTGCTCCTTCCTGGGCGTTTATGCAGAACCTTCTCCTGTTGTTCACTCAACTAAATCTAGTTGTTGAGTATGAGGCCTCTGTTTGTTTGTCTGAACTTGGCCCGTCTATGACCTTCTCTGATGCCCAGGACCTTCTCTGATGTACTTGTGCCAGCAATTTGTAATTAATTTAGGTGGCTTAACTAAAACTTATACTACTACTTTTAATTTGTGTTATTACATGACAAGGTTTTTTTTATCCAAAGCGACTTAAAATTAGTTCATTCAAGATCTATGAGAGGCCATTTAGTGGTTCAGTATCTTGCCCAAGGACACTTTGACATGCAGATGTGAAGACTGAGGATCGAAATGCCAATCTTCTGGTTGGAGGACGACTGCTATACCGCTCAGCCATATTCAGTAGACACATCACTTTCCTCATGTCGTCCATTCCTGCAGCTCCTCTGTTCAGCCTCTGTCTGAAACGCTTGGTTTTAGCTTGTGTCTTTTTAAGCCCCCCCTCCAGATAAAACATGGTCTGCTCTGATTGGCAAACTTTGGATTGATATCACTGTGAATGTGACATTTCTGCATCAGTTTGCTGACTTTGTGCTCTTCAGTATTTGTGCTACAGTCCAACAACATTTCAGTCCAGTAATGTCGCTTTATGATGTCTTTAAAACCACTGACTTGACAAAGTTAGGACATGAAAAAAAAACAACTCAGTATTCACCACAGTGCACACAGTGGCCTGCAGGAATCAGCCGACGGTCTTCTGAAATGTATACTCTGAAAAAAGGAGCTTTAAATAACTATGAGATGCCGGTGTTACTACAGAACTCAGAAAACCAATGACAGGACCTTGAAGAAGTCATAAATTCTTCATAAACCTTATCCCACAATGCCAATGTTCTTTAAAGAACCCTTAGCAAATCCACATGACACTTCATACCCTGTGGATATTGGATCTTTACTATGTTTCTTAGTGTTTTGTGTCACTTTGGACCTCGGAACTCCTCGGTGTGAAACCTTGCCTTGAGTTTTTGGAACAAGTCGATAACTGATGTGTGGCATTACGTGTTTACTGCACAGTGATAGCATGAGGCTATATGCCTTCCTTACATTAAACACAAATCGATATTTGTACACATTGCCTGAAGATCAACAAGACCATTAGAGATGGTTTTCTACCAGAACACCTATATGCTGACTGTGGATGAAACTCACACTCCATTAACCTCCACAATGTCCAACTTTTGGTCTGGTGTTTCAGCAAAACAAATGGAGGGCATCCTAACACTTCCAGACCTCCCTCACGAAAACTGTTATTTCTCTTCGATCTATTTGAACAAGTAATGATGTGAGCTGGAATAAAAACATAATTTCAAGTGTCCCCTCATGATTTATATTCACTAGATTCAGATTTTATTTGGAACTGCTCCAAATTTGACACACTAATAAACTAATAGACTAATTTTTTAACCAAGATCTATTAATTGTCCACTAAAAATGTTTTATTTTGCCTTATTTCTTATATTTTTCCATATACTGTATCTAAAAGTCCCGAGGGCGAAAAAATAACACACAAATTTTTCGCGAAATCATGCTTCACATTTATAAATTAACACACATTCACACCTCAGAGCCGCCCAGCGCAACCACTGTCTTCTGCAAATCCCACCAGGGGTTAAGTGCTCTTCGCATCTCCGTGAAGTTGTAAAGTAAGGACAACACTTCTGTGACATTTCCCCAGATCCACCAGTCACAATTCACCTTTTCCATAATTTCCCCAAGAGCATGTGAGCCATTAGAAGAATCTCAAACACAGAAACATCCTTTAACTCCTAATTTTTGTCGCATTCTTTCCTGTAAACCCACTCAGGCTGTGTCCCTTCCTAGAGTACAGTATTATCTATCACCCTGGAAGACAGAAGATGCCGCTGGTGTTTTTCATCAGTGGTAAGACAGATAAAAACCTAATTCAGGTCACCATTTATCTACATCTCAAATCCATGTAGTGTATGCAGTATTTAGTGACAGTCCCAGAGGGAATTTTGTGGCATCGAAGGAGCCTGGAAGCGATTCTCTCCTTTGCTCTCACCCTTAACCTCATTAACTGGGGTTTCCCTGCAAGCTGATGGCTAAATGAACACTGACTTTATACACCACCTGTTCTCATTAAACCTGACACGTGCTAGTACTGTACACAACATTAAGCCAATATTGATGCAGAGACCAGTCGCCTCTGTTGTGCAAAACCTCTGGGCCAAGCCATGCTAGGTGGGCTGAGAGGGAGGTGAAGGAGTTGGTGAGGGGCTGTATACCAATCTGTCCCCCTGTGGAGCCTTATAAAGATTAAACAGAATTAATTAAGTTCCTGTTAGCCTAAATGACTTATCTGAGGTCCACCCTGCCCATTGTACGCAAGGCTAAACCTCATCAGATGCATGCTAATGATTCAACCACCACCGTGGCGAGGGGCATTAAAGCCGCCTGAGTCTCTGCACCCGAATGACTGCATGCTATCACCTTGGGTCTTAGTGACAAGGCCATGGCAATTAGCTTGGAACATGGGGAAAAGGGGAAAAAAAGTCTGAAGACATAATAAAAATAAAATAATTGCCCTTGTAATTATCCTCATCTTTCTCACTCAATGTCACATCGAGAAGCCGGCAATGCTCTGCGGGGAGTGAGAAATGAGTCTGGGGCTTTTTTTTGTTGCTGTGTAAACTGGATTAGTGCTCTGCCTGTCCCACCGTGGCAGGAGAGTGATTGGATTAACGGCATGGAGAGCACAGCAGCATGGCAGGAGGATAGATTACTGGCACAGTTGGGCTCTCCGACGGGCGCTCTGGGGCCGGCAGGGAGCCCTGGGAGGCCCCAGACACCTTAAAGGGCCCAGATAACCATCTAGACATACACTTTCTCTCCCCGCTCTAACCACGCTGCTATCTCTGCTCTCCCAGCTCAAACAGCAGAGAACACAAGTTCACTTTTAGAGGCTATGATGTCCATTAAGTTTATACCTGCTGCGCTGCTGCCAAGTGGAGATAAAGTGGTATCTACTCTAGCTGCTGTATGCTGGTGGGGGGCGAAAGTTTCTGAATGTTTTTAAAAACACATGTACACACAGACACACACCCACACACACAAACACACAGCATTAATGCTGTCGTGCAATTTTCAATCCACACTTTCGATATTTAGCTCTTGTACAATACAGTGTGTGTACGGGCGGCTTCATGTTGCTGACTGTGTAACTGCACTGTGAATGGTACATTTTTAGCAGTGGAGCCCTGTGTCATGCTGTGAAATGTTGTCTCCTGGAACAGTGAGCAGCTTTCTACATGGGTCCACTTTTATTAAAACAAAACCATTACACACTGTATTATATATGCAGAAATAAAATCAGAGCAATATGTTAATTTGCTCTCTTGCCAATAGTTAGATGAGAAGATGATATCACTCTGTTAATTAAATATAGAGCTAAATCCAGCAGCCCATTAATTTAGTTTAGCATAAGTTAACACATTGTGTGCAATTTTCTCTATAGGGAAGCTTACTGTTCCCCTCTGCTTTCAGTCTTCACGTCATGCTAAGCTAACTGACTGCACATAGTAACTTCACATTCCCCATCGATCTTCTCATGCAACCCTATGACAAAGTGACTAGACATTTTTCCCCAAAATGTTGAGCAGGCTCAAAAGAATGCAGGGACTGTATTTTCTGGGCCCCACTGAAGGCACAGACATCGTCTGAGGTCAACGGCAGCGTCTCCTCCATTCTAGAGATTTATTACTGCATAACAGAGTGATCATGTAAGACAGGAGTGGTAGGGCTAAGAGAGAAAAAACAAGACTCAAGGGGAGAGGCATGCCTTGCTGCAGCAGTAATAAATATGGCCTGTGTACTCATTAGTACCAAGCTACATACAATTTCCAGGGGCTTTTGCTTGATAAATAATGCAGCAACGGAGCGTCTGTTTGATCCTTGAAACTGAACAAACCTGGGGACCATTTTTCTTCAAAGCAATGTGATGCAGGTAAGCACAGGCCTCCTGGCAGAGTCACAGAGAACACTGAGTCCTTGAAACTGAGTCATTAGATTATAACATTATTGCAATGTTTGATAGTTATTAGTCCCTAAATCAAAAAAGCAGATGTTGGCTTCAAAACAATTTTCTTTTTATACCCAAATGTTGAGGATAAGCTTGTAATTGTTGTTGCCCTCTATAAGGTTAACTGGACACGCTCTCCCTCAACACGGCCCTGCTTTACATTCTGAGCATGCAGCACTCACTGAAATGAAGAACAGAACCCTGCCATTGCTAAATGAAAACACTCAATCTGCAAGTAAACCTCCAGAGGAAAAGTCTGAAGAGTGTTTAATATTCTCTGGCAAAAGAATAGGAAACTATGAGCCTCTGCATGTAATCCTTGCACAAGAACCGTCACATTGCTGTTCGTAATTTGGCTGTAATGACGTCTTTTCTCTCCCTGTCTTGAAGGACCATCCCGGAACATGTCTCAGTATCTGCAGCTTTTCCAAAACGTTTTTCACCAGAAGTGACCTGAACAAAAATTATATAAATCCAGTGAATTACTACAACAAATCAGAGAGGAATGTTTTCCTGAATTCTATAGAACTAATGAATATTGTACAAATCTAACTGGTTATTATGAGAAAAAAGACAGACGAGAATTAGATGTTGAGGGCCATCAAATTTACTGCCATGCATATTGTACTGTTAATTCTCATTCCTGTAATATAGAGGGCAACAAATACAAAGAAACTTGTGATGAGGCTGTGAGAGAATAATACATCTAATAATGATATTTGAGATCTGCAGGTTGACAGAGCTCCAGCATGAGCTCCTGCTTCTCCGCCCCTTTTGAAAAGGTGTCTGGTAAAAACAGCCCCTTACTCTTATTGTACCTTTAAAGTGTCTGCACCTTTGGAGCATTCATTATCATTTATACCTTCCTACACATGCATAATTCAGCACTCTGCAGGAAAACATTAGCTGTTTTATTGTGAGGCAGTGGTATAAGACACCTACATAGCTGGCACCAGTGCTGCTGTCGGCCTGTGCGGGATCTGCATTTGTCTCTTTTGAAACAAAACAAGAGCGTAGACGGTGCAGGCGGAGCAGAGGGATGTGACAGATAGATGTGATTTAGGACAATATTCATCTCTCTCTTGAAGATGTTCCCTCCTGCCGCAAAGTGTCTCTGGAGTCCCAGAGGGCAACAAGCGTCAATACGACTAGTCAGCGATGGGAGGATTGCGTTCTTGGCAGGGTGCTGCTATTTATAATCACTCAACACAGGGAAAGTGTCCAATACTGTTAGGAGCTCCTTATCTCTGGGCTCTGTCAATATTCCTCCGTGTAGGCGGGCAGTGATGCTATCACGACGCACCAAGCAGCAGCAGCTTCACAAAAAACATACCACATACATGCACACACGCACGACAAATTCCAGCTGACACATGGTCTCTATTACAAACCATTTATCTAGTTTATGATTAATCTAACATACAGATTTGCAAGAACTATTCTCTCTCTATCGCTGCAGTATGTAAATGTGTTTGTGTGCCTGAGCGGAATCAGTAAATTATTCAATAAATTATTTAAACGTCTAGAATTTCCTAAATAAATTCATCACAGAGTTTGATAGAAGGAACCATTTGAAGCAAGGAAACACTTGCTTCAAAAAGATCTCTCACACTGCCACACTGCTCTCTAATATGCACTAATAGTTATTTTCCTCATGTCTTTGGTGTAACCACAGGACTTGTTTTGTTGGACACATGCACCCACACGTGCACCTGTCTTAGTAATTAAATGAAGTTTCATGTGGTTTATTTACACATTTGCACAATGACTGTTGAGTTTATTTTCTCTGGCCACTTCCTTCCCCCCTGTGATTCTTTTCACTGCTGACTCTGCAGTTAGCCTGGGCAGAGTGTAACTACACACGGAGTCACCAGCTGTTTCTTTTCACCCGTCAGTGAGGTAATGTGGTCGGAGGTTCACCTCAGTGCCCCCAGGTTCAACCCGCTCTGCACAGACGCCGTGACCAACCAGCAGGAGTCTCTGGCATAGTGTCAAGGACAAGATCCTTCACTAGCTTCCCACTTAAAAATATTGCTTGTGTGAGATACTGCAGGGGTAGGTGAGTACTTTTATCACACATCACCCTGACACTTATTCATAGACTATATCTTCCCAAACACACTTTTTTAATCAAAGATTGTAGACAGATGTGAATTCAGAACAATTCCCAATTTACATTGTTCCTGGGTGTCATGTTAGGTCTTAGCCTGAAGAAACTCTCTGTCTGTCCTCTGACTGAAAAGCTAACTTAGTTCTGTTCAGACAAGAACAAACATCTAAACCATTAAATCTTGCAGCTGAGCACTATCTGCCTGCTAAATCAGCTGTGACCAGGTCCTCTGGATCAATTAGGAAAACTGTTCTTTTGGCCAAAACAAGGTTTTATCCTGAATTTTGTCCAGCGAGGCCAAAGAGAAACTGGTTGTCACTGAGCTGCACGGCAGTACCTGGGGAGGGGAACACTTTATGATGCTTATAATAGGAAAAATCTGATTAAAAGTAGTTAAATGTGCAAATTAACAACTGCTATTTTTAGTTTGATTACATATGGAAAGTATGGCATATCTGTTGGCACATGACCATGGTACATAACCACCCCCAAGAAGAGAGACCGACAGACACACTTCTTCTCACCATAACTAGGAGGCTATTATTCCCTTTTATCAAATAACTTCACTGGGTTTTTCCAACACCCAGCCACCAGCTGTGTCAAGGCCCTGTCTCAGTCCTCAGTTACATTCCTTATAAAAATATGTCCCATTGTAGACACATGGACAGCACTGGACAACTCCAATGTGGTTGGTGTTTGTGTTATTTTGGCCTTGTGTTTGTTTGAAGGATGTCTTGACAAAATTACACAAAATCGTGTGAAACTAAGTCACTGTCTGACTATTAGTCCAAATGCTGTTTTAAAATGTTATAATTTGGGTCTTAACAGCCTCCACACACAGTTGCTCTGCTGTGATCAGAGAGCTTTACACAGAATTATGCATGACTGTTTCTAATAAAGTCAGAGTAAAGATTTTCTGTGGCCAATGATCCCCCCTTACTTCACCTCAGTGCCAAACTGACACTTCTATATCCTCTCAGGGCCACAAAAGTTGGAACACTTGATTATACAGATGCGCACTCGACCAACCTGGACTGAACAATGCACATTCAGTTTTGAATAATACACAGACCACACAGATGGTGTGCGTGGAGGAGACATGCACCAAATACCAAAGACATCTCACTCAAATTTCCTTACTAATTATTTCATGCGTACAGAGATGTCCCCCCAGCAGGCAAATACTTCACGACTGCAGGCGTTGCCCCCAGCAAAGTCTGAACTGGCCCAGCTGTCAAGCCTGGAAACAAAATCAGGCGCACCTAAAGTCATTACACAAGAGCAGCCTGTTTCAAGGAGCCAGATCTATAACAGCCATAAATCCATAATATTCACTGATTTATTCAGCAAAATGCTAAATTCTTTAGCCCGGCAGTTTCAGCCTGGTTCGTAACTTTTAAAGTTGCTAATCGTGTTAAACAGTAGAGAGGACATGAATAGAAAACTATATAAACAAGCCTCTGAGCATCAGTCTGGAGGCTCAGCAGGCTCATCTCCCACCACACTGCTAAACCTCTCCACCCTCACCGAACGTATGAGGGCTGGTGTGAGATCTGGGGGTTGCACATGGGGAAGAAGAGCTGCTAAGTCTCCTTAGGAAGGAAAAGATGCAATCAATAACAACGAAAATGACACAGAGGAGAGGAAGCAGTCTTTACCTCTTGGAAATATCTTTTCGCTGTAGTTAGCGGCACTGGAGGAAAGGACGCTTTGTGATGAGTCTGTTACACAGGTTAGTCTCAAGTTAAATATATAGGAAGCAGCATGGTGGAGGACATCAGCAAAGGTTGATTTGTTACTGAGAGTATTTACTTTTGAACATAGTGTGTGGGGGGGGAAGGTGACAATGGAAGAATTATAATTCTGGTGGAGCAAAATAAGGATCCTGAAGTCTTACCCTGTAGTAGTCACTGCTGTAGATGTCCCTGGACATGCCGAAGTCTCCAATCTTCACCAGCAGGCCATTGCCTACCAGGCAATTGCGTGTTGCCAAATCTCTGTGGACAAAGTGCTGGGAGGCCAGGTAAACCATGCCAGAGGCAATCTGGGTGGCAATGTGCAGCATCTGGGAAAGGCCCAGCTCCCCGTTGGACTGCAGTGGCTGGCCATCTACCAGGATCATGGCGTCTGGGCCGTGGGCTCTGGATTACAAAGAATAATGTTGATTGCTCTAATGAACTTTCACTAACCAGTGGTCAGTGTGACAGAATTACTTACAGTGTAATGACATATTTATCTGCCAGATGAGTACAGAGTCTCAACGTCCATGAATAATGTGAGTGAAGAAATACAAGTGGAATCAAAATTATTACTCATAAAGCCACATTTTCATCTATAGGAACAAGGTTGTTATTGATTTCTTTTCACAGTCTTGCTTTTAGAGCTGGACGTAGTAACCTCTAGTGTCTTCATCATGGAAGACTCTAACCTGACAGCCTCTTTTATGAAAATGACAAAGCTGCTTACAGAACTAATAAACCTGTGCCCTGGCTGCACTGGTACCTGCTCAACCCCTTCAGAATAATTAGAATAATAAAGACTGACTATTAGGAATATGAACATTAATTATTACCTAGCAGTTTTAATCCCAATGATTAACTGAGATATATATATATGTATGTAGAAAGTTATATAAAGTTTTATATGTTTAGAATCTTTGGTGGTTTTAAAGCAGCTTTCAGCAACATTTTCATGAATTCTCGCCCGTTATAAATTTAACCAAGGTTCAGGAATTTCATCGAAGTACTGCAAGTCATACATTTACCAGAACAGGTTGACTGTGGGTCGAGAGCTCTCTCCCTGCTTAGAATTTTTAGGTGACAATGAAGAACTCATTTCCTGTGAGAGGTTCCTGCTGTTCTTATCACCTCCATCAATGTGATTACAGACCAGGCACTAAGCAGAGGAGACTACAGCTCTCTCACTCCCTCTTTTAGGCTGCTTTTCTCTCAATTGTCGTGCATTTCAGTGATCTCGGCTTTGTGCCTCTGTGTAATAATCCAGCTCCACTGTAGGGGGATTAGTAGTACTTTTTTCTTACAGTGTGTGTTTCTTGCTTGACTTCACACACATTTAGTAGTGTTGTACTCAGGGCAGGCCGCCCTCTGTATATTTGAAGGTTGAGCAGGACCTGCCCATCCAATCCCTCTATTCACTCTTGTTGATTCTCTGCACATCTCATCTGTTAAATGTGACCAACAGGACCCATAGACCAAAAATCAGCCATGTCTTGCACCCTGAATGAAAGAATTTCATCATTCGCAACATTGCCTTTCATTTCAGGAGTGATTTCCCAACAGAAAGTTCCTCACGCACTCTCGAATCTACACACGCACACACACTCAATCGTAACATGTCATCTTTTCAATTAAAGCTCGAACTTCAAAAACAGACCACACACGCACAGCTGCTGTCAACGCACTTGAAATAGCACACTTCTATCCCAGACTCCTCTTGTGCACACTGACATCATTTCCAGCTAAGATTCCCTTTACCAAAGCACTCGCTGTACCAGCATCATGTCGCTTTTGTCGAGGCTTATCAGAGGTCACTCCCCCGGTACAGTCTGACATTACAGAACAAAAGCACCAAAGCACTCATGTTTGCTAACTCAGAAATCTGTGAAGTTTGCTGGATATTGTATCAGCAGCAGGAATTGTTCTAAACAAATGTACATTTATTTGACTCTTACTGAAGTTTTGTATTTATATACTGTTGATAAGTTGGTGGACAATTCCATCTAAAAGAACAGTACCCTGAGGGACAACACCATGAGGTAGCACACACATATCAAAACTGTAAATGAACCTTTCACTCACTGTAGTCAACTTGTCAGTTCACATGCTCAGTTTCAGCTCTTGCTTCATCAGTAATAAACTAACCTGAGGAATTTGTTGAGGTCTCCGTGCTTCATGTATTCAAAAACCATGATGAGAGGGTCTCCGTCCACGCACACTCCGTAGAATTTAACGATGTGGTCGTGCTGCAGGTTGGTCAGCAGCTCCGCCTCCCTCTGGAAGTCCTTCCTTGCAGACAGGTTGGGATCTTTCAGTGTCTGAAAGAGGAAACAATGAGTCAGATTTAGACATTGCTAGGTGTTCATCTGTTGATGCTCTAAGTTTATCACATGGTGACCACATGAGGGCAATATCACTGACATACACATGGAAACTTACACATATCCACATGAGACACATTTGTGTCCTACCCCCTAGACTGCGTGGCATTGACTCATAACTTTATCCATCTACCAGTCCTTCCTACAGCTTGCTAAGTGCTCTTCTAGTTTCTCCTGCTACCCTTCATATTGCAATTTGAAAACTCTTTCTGCTTGAAACATCCACTCAGTTCGTCCACTTGTCTGTAAAAATGCTATCATGGCTCTGGGGATGAAAATGCCATTTGATCGTTCGGTCAGTCCACCACTTTGGTCCTGACTTATAAATGCTGGATGAATCTGATTATTTCGTGCAGACACTCATGGTCCCCAGGGGATCACTACTGACAATGACCTTGACAGTTTGAGTTTCGTGGCACAGTCAGTGCTGGGATATTTGAGTGTATTGATTCTCTATGTGTAGATTTACAGTCATTAAACAAATATCTACTAACTGATATTCTGTAAATGTTGCAACAGCAGCAAAAAAAAAAAAAGAGGACAATCAAATTATCGAATGACTTTACAAAAATATTATTAACACTAACAATCTCTAAAAGCAGTGAAATTTACAGAACTAAAGCAGCAAAGATTCTCCAAAGTCTGCAGGCGTATAAGAACCAGTAATACCCCCAGGCTAACAAACACGACATCCACTGACTGAGTTTGGTATAGAAATGAATCCGATGAGCCCCGACACTCCTAAGCAGTCCCTACTAGATATAAAAGAGTGCCAGTCAAACCTCAAGCAATGGAGAGCAATGTGGGCTATGTAATGGAAATTAAGTATTTACATTTGAGGCACGTAACAGTCTGTTCGTCACTCCATGCAGCTCTGATGTTTTTTTATGAGCTGCCATTTATTGTTTATACTCGGCAGTCTATTCCCATTTTACTTTTATCGACACACAATGTTTCGACCACAGTCAAGCATAAAAAACACTGACACAAAAAAGGTTTTGCTGAGATTTTAAGTTTTTTCTACATTTTCATGGATGTTTTTTTCACTTAGGTAAAAGTATTTTAGTCTTGTTGTTTTGATTGTGGAGAATCCAACATGCTCTTATGATTTTTTTTTTCACACGCAAACAGCTGTCCTTTATCCCTGCCTTCAGGCAATGTTGTTTGAGCACTTGTTTTCCCACTCCATAGGAATAGAGCAGATAATGGCTAGAAAGAGTGGTTGCTCAGTTCTTGGGTTCTTCTGATACTTGTTGTACACCAAAAGCATCTTAAGACTTCACCAGATTTTGTTTTATCCTTCATCTTTATCAATAAACCTTTGAAACTGTAAACTACTCTATTCAACAGCAGTTTTCTCTAGTAACTTTTAAAAATGTTTATCCAACCAATAATTCTGTACATAGTTCTAATGCCAGGGATCACTCAAGCTGTAAAGCTTAGGCCCTCCAGATGCAGCTGTAAACACAATCTATTGATCTGATTGGTTACAGGATCGAGTCGGCAGTTCCTTGAACACTTTTGACATCAAGGACACATGAAATATCAAATCTTGATGAGATGTCAGCTGAAGCTGGGAGTAATAGAAAATCAAATGTCTCCTCAACTAGAGGAGAAAAAAGACTCTTGACACTTCATCAGCTACAGGAAAATACAGCAAGTTGCTTCTCTTGATCTCCTTGGCCTTGAGTCCTCCTTTCCCAGACTGATGCTGACATTATTACAGATGGAAAGACCTTGAGATAGAAATACATGTACTCGTATGTCCTCTGCTTGTAGTGAATCGCTGGAGGTGGTTGAGATGTACAGCAGCGTAGGTAAAATGGCCATAAAATTCTATTACCAAATCAAACCACACTCTTAAGGAAATGTTTCTTGTCTGGGCATCCTTCCAAAACAATACCTTCAAGTGCACGAATATAATAAATCGAGGGAAAGAGCTGCAATGAATTTTTCCCTTTGTTGACCTTTAGTTTTATTTCAGGCACAAACGTGTTCAGATGAAGATGCACACACGCTGTGTTTTCAAAAGTCGAGAGGTCACTGTAGAGGAGGCTTCTTATGCAATACTAAGAAAAGGAAGACAGCATGACCGCATGACGCTCCATCATCATCAACAAAATTCCTGTAATTCTTTTCCTGTTGTCAAGGAGAAGGTAGTTTTTTGACAGTAGTTAATTTTTCCTGGGAAGGTTTGCTTAGTCTGCAACCTGTTACTCAGAATCAACCTGATTCACATTCATACAGTTCTTCAGATTCACACTGGGAGCTGCCAAGCACAAATTCCTGTGATATTCACAGAGGGCAATTGCTTTAGTTCATTCATATCATCTTTGCTTGATAGTAAATGCTGGTTTCTTGGCTGATTGATAATGTTTGAGTTGGTACACTACTACACTCTCATACATGCATCATCGTACTCTCTCACACACTACTATACTATTACATAAACACTACTATACTATTACATAAACACTACTCTCATGCACGCTTCATCATACTCTCACACTACTAAGCCCTCTGTGAGAGAGGAAGTGAGTGTGACCAAACAGGGAGACAGTTTGAATTGTCATTCCCCGATTGGCGTACAGTCTTGAATACAAAGCCTGCACCCACTTAGGGCACTGCTAGCCAAGTTGGAGCTACAAGGAGCATTTAAATCAAGCAGAATGACTTTTAAGGTCGACTTTACAGCTTTGATAGAATGGCAGGGAGATAGCCATAGTAGTATTACTACTATTATAATACTACTATTAGTCGTATTTCTACTTATTTATCTTATTTTCCAAGGTCAGTTTTTCTTTCTAGTAAATGGTTATGAGGAGAACATTTAAATGTTTTCCATCAATACAATGAGGTGTGTTTAGGTTTAGGGCCGACACGCTGCCCTTGTGAACCACAGACAACCCGGGTTGTCTGCCTCAGGACAACCAGTGTGTTTCTGAATGTAACGCTCTGCCAGCACTTTATTTTAAGGTCTGTCCAAGTGGCAATAAATAATAGAACTTTTACAGTGATGTCATTACACATTACCATTTTGTTTTCATCCATACGAGTGGAATGAAATGGGAAGATTTCCTTTTCTGTTGCGCACCATTCACTTAGTTGTGTTTTGTGTGAGTGAGTGTCTGTGTGTATGTGAGAGAGAGAGAGAAAGAGAGAGAGAGAGAGTGCACTTACTGGCCATCACCTGAAGTTCTTTGTGATGAATATCGTTTTGTTCTTTATATATAGCTTTTAATAGCCTACAACTACAGCCTTTGTGGTTTTTGGTATACCTACTGTATAACAGTAGTCCTATGTACTGAAAAAGATACCAGTGCTATTTGAATTTGGAAGCAGAATAAATAAAAGAGTTACTGTATACTATATAGAGTATGTGTATGGTATGTGGTTCATGTCTTTCTATAGAGTATATAGAAACCAGATAAATGGTGGGTGGGCACTTGAACAGGCCATGGCATTTGAACAAAGTAACCTATTCTTTGGCAGGTACACATTCATATAGGCTTTCTGAAGGTGTTCTCATACACAGAAATGGTCACGTGCAGTTAGAAACATCATGCAGATGGGGACATCAGACAATGTGGTTGAATGTGATCTCAGGAGGAACAAATACATTGAGTCTTGAGGCAGATGGACTACAACAGCAGAAGACCATGTGGGGTTCCACTCCTGTCAGCCAAGAGCTGAAATCTGAGGCAGCAGTGGGCACACACTCACCAACCCTGGACAGTTGAAACGTGTGGCCTGGTCTAATGAATCTCTATTTCTGCTGAGACACACAGATGGTCAGGTCAGAATTTGGTGTCAACAGCATGAATCCAAGGACCCAACCTGCCTTGTGTCAACAGTCCAGTCTGGTGGTGGTGGTGTGATGGTGTGATGAAGGTTTTCTTGGCAAAAATTTGGTCCCCTTTACACCAACCAGGGATCATTTGTGCCAGAGTAATCTGTTGCTGACCACGTGTATCTCTTTATGGCCAAAGTTGACCATCTTCTAGTGGATACTCCCAACATGACAAAAATCCATGTCACAAAGCAAAAGTCGCCTCTTATGAACAGCATGATGTGCAGCTGATAAACCTGCATTAATGATGTGATGCAGTTATGTCAGCATGGAGCAGAATGGAATCCATGGCATTATCCAAAGGGAGACCTACCCGTTGTAGCATTGTTTTCCTAGTCAGTGCTCTTTGAGTGTCAAATGCCAGAGATTGCCTTTCTGCTCTTTGCTTTGAGAGTGGGGTTTACAGGGTCTTTAAAGATGCATTAGGTTAGGGCTAGAGAACAGTATCGACTGTCAGAGGGATCAGTAGATTTATGATGATACCCACTGTGGCGCCCTGTGATATTCCCTACGCTTAACTAAGCTAACTGTCTGCTGCCTGCAGTTTCATACTTAGTGCACAGATATGAGAGTAGTATCAGTCAACTAATACCAGAGCATGAAAGCATATAAGCACAATTCCCAAAATGTTCCTGTAATGCATTTTTCAACACACACACACACACACACACACACACACACACACACACACACACACACACACACACAGAGAAGACGTACCTTGACAGCCACCAGCATCTTGTCCTTGGTGGGGCTCAGGTTGTAACACTCTGCCAGGAAGACTTTACCAAACGCTCCCTCACCCAACTCCCTCTTCAGGATTATGTCTCTCCGTTTTATATGCTGGACGACTGAAACACACACAGAAGGGCGGAGAAAGAGAAACACAGATTCATTGTTTAAAACCTTTTCTCCGATATCAGATGATAGCACATTTAATGATACAGGATCCTGTTTCATTAACAGAACACCCCCCCCCAAAAAAAACTGAAAAACAAGGGAGTTAAAATTAAGCAGGGAAAGACTAGATGCAGCTTTGTGCTATATTTTAGATTCTGGTCATGATCTGAAGGCTAATCAAGGTGCAGCAACATGTCACGGTAAAATACAAGTGAGAGTGTAGAAAAGCAGGCACAAAACATCGACAATTCTGTTTATCCATAAAAATGCTCTTTGACCATTTGAATAACTCTCTCAATATACAGTAAGTGTGATAGAGCAGCTGCGAAGTGCTTAAAAAGCAGTTACAAAACATGTGATGTTGTCAAAGTGCAAAAAAAGTGTTTCATCTGACTTTAAAGCTGCTTCAGACAGAATACTGGAAGCAGTCGGGTTCATGTGGTTTCAAATCTCTGAAGTGCAAATAAAATGCAAGATAACACTGAACCTGCTGAGCTACAAATCTCTTATCTGGATTCCTTGGTTTTACTGTTAGCATTGAAACAACAAAGAGGCACATGTTCTAATGAGAACAGAATAGCAAAACTTCTATTTGTGAAAAGTCTCAGTGAGGACAATAAAACAACCAGCTGGGCAGAGTGAGAAAAACAATCCTCTGTCTCCCAGTATATACAGTAATTCTTATTCTACTTTGTTTCCACATTTTTTCCTAAAAACTCATTCTGACTATATTATTTACATGGTGGAAAAATCTGACAATTTTTTGCCCATCTTGTGGTTGCTTGCAAAGCTTGTGACCACAGAACTAAAGCTTATTATTCTATTGAAAAGATGAACAAAACTTCCAGTCTTCCATGTTGACCACACTCATGACAGAAGAAAAAAGAAAGACGGAGAAAGACAGAGATCCAGGAGAAAAGAGAAATAGTGAGACAAGGGAGTGTTGAGCCTGATCTGTGTCGGAGGTAAAGTTTTTATCCCAGATACCTGCCAGGTTCAGGATGAAAGAGCTGAGGAGGTGTAGGAGCTGATGACTTCTGAACAGAGCAGCTCCTCTGAACTGACTCTGAATCAAACAAGGCAGCTTGTAGGTTTACTATGAACAATGTACTGCTTCTTGATGTGCGCACACACACACACACAATTACAGTAGCTCTCTCTCTAAATGCTGCGCAACAGTATTATAGGTGAAAGGCCAAAAAAATGATTTAAATATGAAAATAAGTTATGAATTAGGAATTAAATTAAATGTAAAGAATACCAATTTAATTTAAAGAAATAAATGAGGGAACGTCTTTCTGTCTGTCTGTCTGTCTGTATGTGGAACATATATCTCCCAAACCGTTCATCTTAATGGCTTCACACTTCACACATGTGTTGTAAATCGCCCAAGAAAGAGCAATGCAGAGTTTGGTGCAATTTGGAAGCGCAAAATGATAATATAAATAGAATCAAATAAACAGGTGACTAGCCCTCAGTCAGTCAGTGAGGGTGTGCAGTGTGCCTTTTCGTCTGTGGAGCAACATGAACGTGTCTTTGTCTAAATCCTCAGACATACAGCAACTGCAGGTCAAAATCACTAACAGATCCTTTTTTATAATTTGATTATTTTTATTTCACTATTCACTATTCACAGGTGTCACAGGGTGCTTGTCTCTGTAAAGGCAACAACATTTATAGAATCACTTCCTCTTTAAAATGAATCCTCACCGTAAGTACACACTGTTTGTTTTGTTGCTGCAATGCTTTATATCAAGCTAAATTACAGAACAGTACTAAAACAAATTCTGTTTCATTTTATAAAAAACAGTGACTATAAAATCTTCACTGCAGATAAAAACCAGGTAGGATGAGTTTTCAAACTTCACTCTGCACCATACTGTCTATAAAAAGCTCTACTTGTGCTGTATGATAAAAAATAAGTCATGGAGGAGTCACAAGCTCACAGCTCTATAGTATATAATGAAATCACTGAAGTGTGTGCAGCGACACCGTAGATCTTAGACCTGAGGATTGTTCTCAATCGAAGGTCATCAGCAACCACAGCTTGAAACTCAGACACGGGTCAGTCTTGCTTCAGCTTCTCCCAACATTCAATGATTTCTCTCTGCAGACGATACATTTAACTGCCATCTGCTATTTAATTATTATCATTCACTAAACTGTGTCACTTTCTTAATAGGCATTCTAGTAGAAGACTGATAAGGTTTTTGTCTGAAATGTCAACCGTCGCCTGAAGATTTTATCAGCTGCAGCTATCTATCTAGCTAATTAAGCTGTAGTGTTAGATTCATGTGCTGAATGTAAATAGTGTCTTTGGACATTTTGTATTGTCTCCATCTTATTTGTTTTCAAATAAAGACCCCCTGAAAGGCATCCCAACCATTGCATGAAGCCAACACATATCATGCTAAATAAGTAGAAGGTCAATGTGAAACAAATTGAAATAAAGAAAAAGATTGTTCCTCTATTGCAGTAAAAAGCAAAAGTGAGTGATAATTGTAAATATGAAGTGGAAAGTATAAAATTGAGTTGTTTCATTCTGACATAACTATGTTTACACATTACATTGCATTACATATCATTTAGCTGATGCTTTTGCAACTTCCAATAAGTGCATTCAACCATGACTGTACAAACCCAACACAGCAAGAATCATGTCAGTGCATTAGTGCTACATGAAAGTGCAGCATATAAGTGCAACTTGACTCAGACCATCATCTTAGCCGAGGTATAGTCGGAAGAGATGTAACAATACATTACACTTTATTTTTTGTAATTTCACATTATGTACTTGAATTTTGCCATTACAAAAGAAAATACTTTAGAATGAAGGCTGACAGTTGCCAAACGCAATGCGATGTCAGGGTGTCTTCATCAATGGAACCTGTAACCTCACAAGGTAGATAGTAAGTTCGTTAACCAGATGTGCTTATGACTTCATCAGAAGCTGAGGCAGATAAAACACTGTTCAATTCATACCTAAGCTCTTGTGGTTTTGGAAAAGTTAAATAAGCAGAGAATTGCTCTAACTATAGCTGTATGCAAACTGCTGCAACATGCAGAGAAATCAAAAGCTACTGCACAATTTCCTCCTCCTCCAAGTCAAGAGTTCACTTATCTCAACTGCTTCCTGCTTCTCCCTTGCCACCTGCTAATGTTATGCATTTTTTAAAGGACTTGCTCTTTCTCAGCTGTAGTTTTTTGTGACCAAACCCAAAAGGAGATCTCCAAAAAGTAGAACCTCTGAAGTGATTTTGAAATGATCTGATTCATAGACACAGATTACTGGTTCTGACAGCAGATGAACTAGCTGACCCAAAAGTGAAGGAAATCATCTTGATTTCCCACAGTGGCAGGCAGCAGTGTTGGTCATTAATCCTGCCCTCATGCTGTATTTCTTTAATCATATTTTATCAAAATGTTGCCAACTCCATATCTTTATGTAAATCAACAAAACAGAACCACTGCAACTTCACTTCACTACTCTGCCTGTCATATTTGCCTTTGCCACTCTATAGTCCACCTTCATTAGATGCTACATAAACTCTTTCTGATGGGACATGAGCCAAGTAAAAGTAAAATATTTGTTCTTCAAAGATTTCTTTCATTTTAGGTATTTCTTATCACAATGTTTGTTCAAGGGCTCATTCCTCAAAGTTTGGCTTTAATTAGTTATTTGATTCTATAAAAGATTAGGTGAGACGCCATTATCGTGTGTACCTGCGTTTCAACTCTCCGATCCTTATAGCACACAGCCCAAGATGGCAGCTCCAGTTTATAAGCTATTTTGACCTCCCTTTGTACAGTTGGAGGAAAGTGGTTCAGGCACTTTTTTTTTTTCATTTCTCTAGAATCCACAGACCAATTTCAATGGTGTTTGCGTCAGACGGCATTTCTCCTCACTGTTTCTGAAATCAGTGTTAAAGATAAAGAGTTGTCCCAGTTTTAAAGTAGATCAGAAAAGAAGTGTCTGCAGAAACTGGCAGCCGGTTTGCCGGGTGAAATCCCCGAGAGGGACACGCACACATCTTTGCTGTCAAATCTTCCTCCGCTAAAAATCTGCATTTCAAGACTTGAGAAAAACATCCATAAGTCGCTTCACATACATTTTAATTCAAAATCTGTTTTGACTGAAATTCTTGGGCCCAATGTCTCCTGCCCTTTCTCGGCTGGCAAAGAGATAGAACATTTTTTTACCCCTCAAAACTGAGGAGTTTCCTTACCTAACATCTATTCCCTACTGAAAATAAATGTGAATAATATTTTTCTTTATCCCTCACTTTGATTCTTTTCCCTGTACCCCCCCATCATTCACGATCATTCAAGGATCAGTGTTGGCCTTACTGGCGGTTGCCTGTCACACTGATGATCCAGCTGCTGAGGCTTATTCTATGGCTGCACCCATCATTAAACCTCTCTGGATGAGCTCGCTGGTGAAATGCCAAAAATGTAAAAATGGGAAGGTTGTCATCTGTCAGCAGGTAGACGCTAACACGCTGGTTTAACCACATAACGCTGGAGCACAATAGATCTTTTTTTCTGACTTTTCCTTAGAACTTACGATTTGTTATCTTGACTTTTACTTTGCAGTTACATGAGGTGAAGCGTCACAGATGATTTATTTCATATATGCAAAGTAGGAATTTGCATATTTTTTAATCATATTTTATCAAAATTTTGCCACCTCCATCTTTATGTAAATTAACAAAACAGAAGCAGTGCAACTTCATTATTCAACAATTCACTCCACTGCCTGTCATGTTTGCCTTGGTCACTCTATGGTCCACCTTCATTAGATGCTATGTAAACTCTTTCTGAACTTTTACTCCAGGACTGCTCTTTTTAAGGCATCAGCAGTTAGGGGCCATGATTTAGTTTATAGCAGGTTACATTTCTGACAGAGAGGATTCAAAGTCTGCCTTTGCTCTGGTTGTCAAAATGTGTCAAG